CATGTAGTATTGTTACCATATCATTTGAAATATCATATCTAAGCTAACTGTTTTTGCGTCTCTTCATCATTCCCTCGACCTGTCCTCCATTAATTTCTGTATTTAATGGGAACAATTTAATGGACGAAACATCACTGGGTTGGGCCAATAATAGTCAGGGCAGTAGTCAACATTGAGGTCATGTCTTTAGTATCTTTATAAGAAATATGCAGGTTTTAAACAAACAGCAGTTTACATTATCTAATTACAGTTCAAATGCTTAAATTTGACATAAACACAATTAAAAATAAGTGCATTTTACCGTCAGTTATGAAAGACTTTGAAATATGAAAAGAAAGAAACAATTTGCAGGAATAAAATATTTCACAAGCTGGATTATTGTACAGTACAACAATGTGGAGCTGGGAAACATCAGACTTTTCCATTTACATGCAGCACCAGACGTTGGTAAGATGTTATCAATCAGACACATAATCCATTAACAAATAATAATAATTCTGCATGAGAATACAGTGTGTTATATTATGTTTTAGCCTTAAAATCAAGATTTCTGTAACAGTGTAATTTAAATGTATGAAATATCCTTTTCAGTCTCTTAAAGAGGGGGACTTACCCATTATTGCAGCACTTTAGAGCTTGTTGACACAATTACATATAACATTTGAATTTACAAACTGTAATAGTTGCATGCAGTAGAAGGTTTTGTGGAGATGCAAACACATGTATGCCATTATATTTCACAATCAAGACATTGCATATCATGTTTGTGTTAGATTGAGAAAACTTTAACGAGCTTGAGTGCTTCGGTCCACGATGTTTGCAGGCTGAGATTCATCATGCAAGGATGCTCTTGGGTACCGTATATACTGTGCATGTGCATACATGTATGCATAGCTATTTGTGTGTGCGTGTGTGGAGCTATGTGTGTGTGTCCGGGCTCCATTGTGCTGACTGGTTTATTGCTGTTCCAGGTGACGGAGCATGAGAACAGCAGAGCTTTAAGGTGCTGCTTTCAGGCACCACTGAAGCCACAAATTTGATTATTTTTTCCCTCCACAAGTAGTTTGCATGAGGCCCCCCTCTCACACGCAAACACTTGCACACATACACAGCAGCCTCAAACTGTCGTGGACCGCATCTCCTCTGGTTCCAGCAGCCTGCATTATGCATTTTCATCTGCCATTCTGTTTTCGTTCAACTTCTCTTGTTACAGTGACTCAGCAGCGTTGAACATGCTGCTCTGCTGAGGTTTGTTATTGCCCTTCGTGGCATGTACTCTACATCTTACTCTATGTTTAGTACACATGAAACATACAAAAGTCCGACCTGGGCTGCAATTGTTTTGTCGTAAATCATGTTGTTCTAATGTTAGATACATGTCTAGAATACTTGATGTACGAGTTGAAAAATGAAAAAAACTGGACCTGAAAATGTCACTTTATCTATCCCACAAAGCCTCTCTGTCTATCTCTCTCTTCTTCTCTAATCCCCATTGGGTGCGGCAGTGGGCACGCGGATCCTATCACATCAGGGGGAGATTAAACAAGGAGTGTCACAATGACACAGTGAGTTTGACAATGGGACAATAGAAGCTCTTTCAATTACAGCTCTTTCTAAAATCTCCTAAAAAGGAAATTCTGCCGATAACGTTGTCCTGTTTCTGTTTATTCATTTTGACATTTAAATCTATCTTTCTTTAACCTTCTTGCAGCCTAAATTGAATAGCTGTCTTACATGCTCCATCAAGCTAAGATGGAGCTCAATCACCTCTGCGAGGAGCTTTGTAAGCTGTGCAATTAGTGAAGATAGAAGTTAAGCGGCAGAAGTTTGGATTTGTTGGTGGCATGTTTTGAAAGGACATGTGGAAGATGTTGAGAATATTATTCCAAGTTAAAGGTTCTCCATACGCTATTCAGCAGCAGACAACAATAAATACGCTCTGAATTTTGTACTGAGCATCTTTACTATTTGTGCCAACTTAAAGGCGTTCCGCTAATGATTTGGCCTTTTTAGCTGAAATTATTAGTCTATTAATACATTTGATAGATAGAAAATAAGTGCAATCATTTTGATGAGGTATGAAACTCTTAAGATTATTTTAAGATTTTGGACTTTTGGACTACATTATGGTGCCAAGCTATTCACTTATGTCTCATTGTGTGTCACTGCATGGCCTACAGATCTGCTAGTGTCGTCGAGATTAATGAGCATCCTGAATGAGCCTAAACAGCATCCTCACAGTCATCCCTCTGCTATTCTCAGTGAGTCAGTTGTCGGCGGTCATCGGGCAGCACCTTGTCAAGTCCGATTTCCTCTCCAGTTCACTCTCTGGAGCCAGAGGGCCAGCTGCTTCCAACTTGAGGGCCTGTTATCTACTGAGCCCCTCTCTATTGCCTTTGGCTGCCCTCCGGTCGTCTGTCTGGCCTCAGATTTAGTCAAACCACAGCTAGTTTACAGATAATTATCAGGTTGAGACCAGCTGCGTGGCACACATCCACAGGCCCTTTGTTGCTAATTGAATTAGACCCCATGCTGGAAGTAACAGAGAAATGAACAGTTTCCCCCAGTGAGCCATGTGATTAGCTGACTTGGAGAGGGGAGGTCGGCTCATAATGGCACACTGGTGTATATGGTCATGTCTGTGACTCACCGTCTAGGCCACATTCAGCCAGACACAGATGATTCTGTCAGGTTTCATTTTATGACGTGTGTCAATGGGGGGTACAGCCGACAATCAAAGTTGGACCGTTTCCAGGCTTCCTGCGTGAGGTTAAGAGCCCAAAATGTCTGTTTATTGTTCCTTGTTTTTGCCATCTGCTCTATGACTTATTGGCTAGCTAGATATACAGCCTGCAGCAGCTTTGGTTTTTAAGAGTCATCATAAAAATGCAATAAATAAACCACTTCCACCATGAACATTGTATTTATTATAGTCGTATCTTTCACGATTTTTTACTAAAACACACACACACATTCTCATTACACTGGCGTAGGGTTTCAATTAATTTCCATGTTAATCAAAGTCAAAGAATGACCAAAGCAAAACGATAGTTTGCATTTCTTTGCATGGCATTGCTCTTGTTCTCCATTTTGCACTTCTCCAAGATCCTGTTGCTTCTCTTCCCTCCACTCGTCACCGTTTTTACACTGCTGTCATCTTTTCAGATACTCTTTTGAAGATATATAATTCTGTCACAAAAATGCTGAATTAACAGCATGTCTGCATTTTTTTGTTGGCATTTTTATTGTATGAAGAAATATAAAAAAAAACTCATAAAATTCATAGCATTCGCAGCTGCTATTAATCTCTGCCAACTGGATCACACGAGGAGGGAAATAATTGACATCTCTGAAGAGAAGAAAAAGCTAATAACAGTCAACTTCTCTGTCTTTTCTGGAGGCCCTTTATTTTTGTGAAGGTGTGAATTTAGCTGCTCTCCTTGGTGGTGTAATTAAACCTTTCCGCTGTGCAATATCTTTCATTCTGTGCCTGCATGTCTCGTTGCATGCCTAAAGTGTGCGATGTTTGCCAGAGAAAAAGTCTGCCTGTGCTGTGGAAAGTAGGCCATTTGGGCTGATGACACAGGTCCTGTGTGATGCTCGCTGACTCTGGAGCTCTGAAAGGTTTATTTCTGGACGTTCAGCGCATCATCTGTTAACTTTGTTTGCCTGATGAACCTCGTGGCGTTACCGGTCTGAGATTAGCGTCTGTCTTTTTCCCACAGCATTGCGGGACGGTTATGTAAGTCCACGATGTCCTACTACGCCTTCAGTGGTTTGGTGCTCTGATTGGTACACTGTTATGAAATGTGACACAAGTTATTTGGTTGTCATCTCAATTATTCATACACACCTCTGTTGGATGTGAAAATTGGTTTGTTGTGCTCTTCTGCGCAACAAATCTTTCATTCTCTTAGAATAAAACTGAATAATATGAGAATGATGTGGAAATCGTGTTAGACCTATGTGAATACGAGGGCAGTTGATAAAACATTTTCTATTATTTATTGTTTCACCATCTTTAGTCCCCTGTTCATAATTTAGGATGTTATACATTTGCTGTGTTGTCTTTCCAAGATGTATCTCATTGTGCATTATCTCTCTCTGGCAATGTTGTGTTTGCATTACTGACTTTGGCTTTAAAAGTTGTCTTTTTTCGCCTCATGCTTTAATATGTTTTCTACATGTTACATGCAACCTCCTCTCCAAACAAAGTACCATGTGAATTAATTAGTCTCTCCTCTCGTCTGTCTCTCCCTCCCTCACCATGTTCGAATTACAAGAAGCTGTTTTGTGCCGCCGTGCCACAGAGACCATGCATGAAATTTATTGGCCCTGAGTTCCGCCATTTGACACGCAAGACATGGCTAACAGATCTTGTGCCATTTCCCATCTCTTCCGGCTCCCGTGTAAAGCTGACCTTTTCTGCCTCCAGGCTATATTTAAACTCTGAGCACCAGAGACTTATGGTGCCATGGGAAATTTTATTATCAACGCTCTCCATTTGTCTGACTTAATCTGGTCCTGCCGTAGGTCGTGCCAAAGTATGTTGTATATTTACGCTCTGCTACGGCAAACAAGGGCACCGGTGACAAACCTGACCGTCAACGCCTTAGCGGGGGTCACACCTGGTGAAGCATTCCTTTGAACTGCTCTGAGGACCAGCCATGGGATGATTTGGTTCTATTTACAGTACACAGCACATGTAGGAAAGTGTGAGAGGAATAAGGAAAAAAAAAGGGCTGCGATATTATTCCATGAAGCAGAGGTTTTACCAGAGAGGCAAACGCAAAGGGACTTGACATTTTGAAGCATTTCAGTAGCTAAAATGTCATAGCTGTCAGCCACAGACACATTCATCAGCCTTTACTGTTTGTCGTCATTGGAGCACGTGGAATAAGCACACGAGCACACACATCCACACATCCTTTTTTCAAACTTTCGTCCAGCCATCTGCTTGATCATTCGCTGACACTCTTTTTTTCTGTTCTGTGGCGCAGGTCTGAGATGGGAGTTCAGAGGGTGCTCCAGGTGGATCTGAAAATGGAAATCTTTCCTGAGCCGCTGGGCAGCCGCTGGATGGCCTGGCAGGTGGAGTACCCGGCCAGTCGTGCCGCCACACAAGAGGCTGAGACGGAGATCCAACTGGCGCAGGAGGACCTGGCGGGCATCGTGCCCCTGGCCATGGTGAGTCATGCCACTTCCAGCTCAATGCCAACAGCTTTTCAATAAAGAATTTAGTAACAGACAGTGTTTCAGCTAGTGCTTAGCAGTGGTGGACTGTAGTGGAAAGTAATGAAACAACATATAGTCAGGGAAATGTTTTACTTTTCACTTAATTACATTGATCTGACAGCTACAGTTACTACTTTTTCAGATTAGGATTTACATCCAAAACATGTGATGAGTTTATAAAACAAAATTTCCCAAGAGGACGCAGGTTCTACACCTGCCCAGCTACACGAAGATGAACAATTCTTATTAAACCAAACATTCCGAACTAATTATAAATACCTCCTACACTATCAACGCTATATCATTTAATCTTTGAAACATCAATGTGTTGCATACATGCTAATGCATCAGTAACAATAACAATCTTTGAGGGGGCATTCTGCATACAGAGTTTACTTTGCTTAAGTACATTTTGCTGATACATTTACTTGAGTACGATTATGATGGCAGGACTTTTACTTGCAACAGAGTACTTTTATATCGTATTATTACTACTTTTCCTTGAGTAAAGGATACTGAATACTTCCTCCACTCATTGGTGCTTAGCTAAAGAAGGCAGAGCTATGAGGTGGGTCTGTGTTTAGGAGCATGACAGGAGAAGAGCATCTGTAGCTCCCAGCAGACCTCAGATGGGGTCCAGAGTCTGGCTCTGGCCCGAGGGTAAGCCTGGAGCTGTGTGTCTCCGTCAGCGAGGCGCAGGTACTCTGTTGTGTCGATTGAGCCAAACTCTCCCTATAGAACTTCACATAGAGAGTTTTGCTTAGCGAACCAGAGTGCACTGCTTCTGATTTAGATCAAGAGCATTCACGTGAACAAATGAGCCACATCAATTTGTGTTGGCTTAAGAGAAAGACATGCTGTCACGTCAGCGCTGATTACTAAAACAAAAACTGCTTTCATTTCTATTTCAGTGCTCGTGATCTGCATGATATAGACCTGACTGTTGTGTCAGTGTTGTTCTCTAAGTATTGCCTGTAGCTGTGGTAGATGATAGATGCATGTGGGTGGCTGTTCCTGGATTCAGAGGAATGCGGCGCTTCCTCACCCACTGATTCATTCTCAGGATAATTGAAGCAATGTGTTTAATGCTGCAGTATTGTTCGAGTTCCTTCTCTCACATTCACTGATGTATCAACAGCCTGCTGTTGTCTAATAATACATAGTTTGCTCCCACACCTTCCACTGACAAAAAGATTGCAAAGTTGATATGCATGATTATCTCACACAGGTTTTACTCACAGAGAGAATTTATTATGTGCTGTTATCTGCTCATTGAAAATCATCTTTTAAATAAAATCTTTATTTGACTAACTAATGTGGCTTTTTTGCAAAACAGAGGAGGAAATCCATCTTCTGTTGTTTGTGTAAAATGAATTCTCTGAGTGCCGACCCATTGAAAATCTAACACGCAATCCTACAACTGTCTGCTTTTTCATATTCTGCTCATTTTTACACAGAAGAAGGGATTTTAATGGCTACCTATATATCATATGACGTTTTTTCACAGTGGCAAAAATTCATCTCAATTAACCTGATATTACAATTATTTTCTAAACTTGGCGAAATCAATTAGGGACAGGGTAATTTAAGAGCTTCTGAGGAGATAAAGATGAATAGTGTTGCATGTGTAGAAACACTGCGTGTGTGTGTGTGTGTGTGTGGTTGTGTGTGTGTGTGTGTGTGTGTGTGTGTGTGTGTGCGTGCGTGCGTGCGTGTGTGTGTGTGCCCTGCAGGAAAGGCTTGATTTTTCCCTTTCGTGCCTTGATGTGCTATTCTTGGACCTGTGAAGTAGCTGCTATCATGCAGGCTGTTCTCATACAGCATCCGTAGCTATACCTACGAAAATGAATGCACTGTAATTTGTAGATATCCCACAACATTAATTTTGTGTGTGAGCCACGTAATCATGAACCAGGAAGTATAAAGACTGCATGAACCCACACAGAGCGAGCGGGATGGAAGGTGGATGTGACTTTCGCCCGGCAGACCGTTGTTCATGCCCTCTGTGAAACAAGAAGTTAATGTTGATTTGTTTGTCACATAACTGCCGTACTTAAGTGACGCTATTCCTTAGTTATTTTAACCAAAACCACGATCTTTTGGGTAGAAGTTTTGTTGCCGAAACCTAACTAAGTTTTAGTTTTTTTGTCTATGCATGCAAAGAGCGGAAATCGACCCGTGTTGCTGGAGACCTTTGACACCAACATTTGACACGTTTTCATGATCGGACTTTTACTGAAAAGATGTTGATTGGACAATTTTGTTTCTTTTTATTTTGCTCCACCATAAGACTTTTTGCTTTTCTACTTCTTTTTCTTTCAAGTGCTTCTCCCACGCAGATGACTTCCCAAGGTGCACAGCATCTCCAGCCACCCCATAGTACTTAACACACAACACAAATACTTCTACATGCAGAAACATTCAGAACTCATTACCTCTGTCTGTCTCCCTCTGTCCCCTTTTCTCTCTCCCTCACTCTTATGCACACACACACACACACACACACGCACAGAATATAAGGCTTTTACAATCTGCATGCACCAATATGAGAGAAGCACACAAGCGAGAAAGAGGAAGGCTGAATTAGATTACTCGGGATCACTGTGGCATGAAAGGCCCACAGATAAGTTCCTCTCCCTTCCCCCTGCTACACTCCTCGCTGATAGAAAAGAGGAAGTAAGGTAATGTAAGAGCAGTGCCGTCAACCCCCCTTACACACTCACGCACACACTGACACATCACCCTCCACCATCACCACCTTGTCTCTACCAAAGGGAAAACAAAATCAGGTTTGCCAATAGAAAAGTTGGTTTCCGCACAAAGACCTGAAGTCACTAATAGAGTAGTGAAGATGGAGATGCAGCAAAGACTTAAGATAAGTAATGTGGGCGGTCAGAATATTGATAATCACATACCCAGTAACAATTAGGATATGTAGGATGTAGTGGTTGTTGTTATAGTTCATGGAAGAAATGTCAAATTACCTTAAGGGGTAGCACCAATCGTGCAAGGTGGGAATATAATGATGGAAAACCATGCAGAATAGTGGTCCGACCCTCGTAACTCAAAGATGTCTGCCCACAACGGTGCAGATCCAACATCATGTTCTGTTACTGACTGTTGGCAGTAATCTTTCTACACATTTCTCCAGATGTACATCAGAGAGAAAACAGAGTAAAAGTTAACTGACCATAATACATGTTTCCACTACTACTTTAAGCTACAAGGCAGCCTTACAAATGGTGTTTGATGCTGGCCATGTTAAAATACTGTGGTTACTCAGTATTCAGCAACTGATCTGAAATGTATCGATTTATCCCTTATGGCAAGCTTAAAACATTAAAGGTAGGGTTCATAATCTTTTTCAAAAGATATTTTTTTGATATTTTCTTAGAATGTCATTACATTCTGACAGCAATCAATTATTCAAATACTCTGACAAAAAAAAGAATCCAGTTTTGTCTGTCGTGGATTGTGTTAAGCCCGTCCAATCATTTAATTTGGCAACTTTCTTGCTAGATTGAGCAACTTTTGGAGCTAGTGCTGCTACCTACTTTCATTGGAAAAGAGTTGGCAACAATGGGCTGGGATTTTTGGTTGGATATTTTTTTTAAGCGTACTCTTGCTATTTTCTAAAGATTACCAACCCTAGTTTTAATTTACACATACCTAGCAGAAGCATTGACGTCCCCTCTTTTACACTACTGGTCGAAAGCAAGTCCAATATTCCCTCGTGTTTATGCCTCTCCCTTTATGCCCTAACTCCGGAGTAAACACATCTGGGTCTCCGAGAGCCGAGAGTAGAACATGGTTGAAGGATGGGGCTGCAGAGTGCAGTGTTGATCAACAGTATTAGCAATACTAGATCACAGACAATCAATGCTATTAATATAAAAAATATAGCTTAATGGGACTTTGAAAGAAATACAATTGTTTAGCTGACTTTGTAGGTACTCCAAGTAAAGATTAAATAAACCCCTTTTTAATGTCTATTTGGTGTCGTTACAGTATTTTTTGCAATAGTGGATCATTATTGTGATCAGTGATGTAGACCGTAGATGAAGGTTACTGGTGAAAGAAAGACGAAAAGAAGAGCAGAGGAGAAACAGTCTTAGAGGAAGAAGGGTGTGTTTTTAGAGCTAGGGAGGGAGAAACAGAATTCTACACTCTTTTTTAAGTGACTTCACAGAGCATGCTGAAGGCATCTGTTGACACATCAACTCTCTGGTTTTGCTGTAGAAGGTAGTCTCATCTTCAATTAGCACTAATTAGTGTAATAAGCTAGCTGTATTTTGTTGTAATGGAAAAGCTGCTGTAATTGTGTTTTGACAAGAAATAATCTCATTTTCTGAATGAGGAACCATAGCTGACCATGTCAGACAACCAGGTTGTAATGTAATAAAGCTAATGACTATAAAAATAGAGAAGCTTATTTTGGGTTTGATCACATTTATGGCCTATTACTTCAATGGCTCCTCAGACTTGTTCCCAGCCCATTTAAGTCATGTTCTAAACTACTGCGCCCTTGCTGGAATGGATTATCATAAAAAGGTCTTTTTATTGCATTTTCCCAGCCAAGAGATGGGCTCTGCCACAGGTGATACCTCTGAGAAAGCAGCGACATCGTTTTGAAAGATGAAACTTTCTTTTTTTCCCTTTGAAGAGGGCTCCTCCTGCGTGTTGCCACAGACCCACCTGCATTGGGAGGGCTCAGAGCACCGCTCACCACTTTGTCACCAATTTCAAACCGCAAAGCAGAAGTTCTGCAAATGCAGCAATTATTTCAAAAGCAGAAAATGAAAAGAGTACTCAAAAGTTTTAGTCAGTTTAGAGCGAGGAAACGCCTCAGAACTCTCTCTGTCGACTGTAATACCGCCTGCCTGTCCTGGCTTGTCTTCTCCTCACATGCTTTATTTCATTATTTTTTTTTAGATCTTTTCCTCTATTTTCTC